TNCAACGGAGGTCACCTCTCCGAACATCACCCAAGAGAGGGGATAAAAAAGACGGGAGGCAATCCTTCCAAAAGGAAGATCCCGTCAACGACATAGCCCTACTAGCTAGACCATGGGCAACCGAGTTAAAATTTCTACCAATATAACAACAAGACCCACAGTCTAAAAGAAACAAAAGCGATAATATGTCCGCATAAATATGATGCAAAGGATCATTTGGCGACATATCTAACAGACCACAAACAACCGCCAGGGCGTCTGTCTTGGCATATTGAATCGAGAATCCTGCATCAAGCGCAAAACGGAGGCCGAACCTGAGGGATAGGGCTTCGGCTGTAATTGATGAGAAAGAGCCCGAAATATGAGTTGTAAAAGCAGCCCAACACACGCCTTCCGAGTCGCCTATCCACCCGCCTAATCCGATTCTCGAATCATGGACCGCCGCATCGCAAAATAACGTGAGACCATTATTGCATTTTCCCGGCCCGTACCACCTGTCGACTGATGGTTGATTCAATGAGCGCTCTATCATGATCCGCCCCGACCGAACTTTCTCAGCCTCTTCTCGCCATACATTCCCAAAAGTCCATGCTTGCTCCACCGTTCTGCCTTTCAACCCATGATTAATGCGATTACGTTCATGCTAAATAATCCACAAGCAATAAGCAAATAATGAAAAATCATCCCCACGATCGCTTTCCAAGATCTCACAGAAGATAGAAGCAAAGCTCAATCCACGTACCCGAACGAGTGTATCCCACCAGCCTGCTAGTTTCCAAAACCTTTTAACCCAAAAACAGTCAAAAAAAGCGTGAACATTAGATTCCCAGCAAGAGCACCTGGGGCATTTTCCGTCCACCCGAATATGTCGCCGGCCCAGATTTTCCGATGTCGGAATTGCCAAATTACTCACCTTCCATAAAAACATTTTTATCTTCGGTAAAATATTAATTTTCCACAAGGCTTTCCACCACCTGTCTTGAGAAGAAGAAGAAGGAACTTTCGAGTTATCAAATTGTCGTTGCGAAATCAAATGGTAGCCACTTTTTACTGTATATTCACCCTTTTTTGAATAGTGCCAGATGAGGTGATCAGAAGTGCTGTTCAGACTCAAAGGAATAGAAAGAATTTCTCGCGAGTCTATTGGCAAAAAAACTCTATTGATTAACTCTTGATTCCACTCTCCATTCCTTCCAATCAAGTCGCTGACTCGATCAATACCCGCCGAAGGTTGAGAAACAGGCCGAAAGCTATGAAAATGGGGGATCCAAGGGTCCGAGAAGACCCTCACTGAAGTGCCATTGCCTATTCTCCAACGCATACCTGCCTGAACAACTTCACGACCCCATGCGAGACTTCGCCAAATGAAAGAACAACCAGGCCGTACTCTAGCTTCTATGAAATTACACTCCGGGAAATACTTAGCTTTTAACACTCTTGACACCAGGGAGTTCGGTGAAGTTAACACTCTCCAAGCTTGTTTCCCTAGTAGTGCTTGATTAAACATGGAAAAATCTCGAAATCCCAAACCACCCTGTTGTTTTGACAACGTTAACCTGCTCCATTTGACCCAAGACAGCTTCCTTTCCCCCTCCCGAGACCCCCACCAAAATTGAGCAACGATTTTCTTTAACTGTACAGAAATCGCGTTTGGAATACGAAACAAACTCATAATGTATGTGGGGATGGATTGTACCACTGCTTTAATTAAGATTTCACGCCCCGCCGATGAAAATAGATTACGCCGCCAAGAATGGAGACGCTTCCAAATTTTTTCCCGAATAGCCGCAAAGGTCCGGCTCTTGTCTCGGCCGATCATAGAAGGGAGGCCAAGATAGGTGTTATGAGGGGAAGGGGAGTTGATGCCCAACCTCGAACATAGCGCAAGCCTCACAGTCGAAGGTGTATTAGGGGAAAAGGATATCGCCGTTTTTTCCAAGTTGACTTTTTGTCCTGAAGCCACTTCATAAGTTCTCAATATATTGACAATGGAGGCAGTATCTCCCACAGTAGCCTTTGAGAATATGATTGAATCGTCGGCAAAGAAGAGATGAGAAATCGGTGGCCCGAGTCTGCTACATCTGAAACCAGTAATTTTCCTGTTTACTTCTGCTTTATAAAGAGCTGCCGATAACCCTTCTGCACAAAGAATAAAGAGATATGGGGATAAAGAGCAGCCTTGTCGAAGTCCACGAGTGGGTATGACAGAACCAACAAGGTTGCCGTTTACCCGAAAGAAGAAGTTCACAGTCGAAATACACTGCCAAATCAACCGACGGAATCGGGGAGGGAAACCTTTCTTTAATAACATCGAAGCAACAAAATCCCACTCTATGCGATCGTATGCTTTGCTCATGTCCAATTTTAAAGCCATCCAGTGAGAATTCCCTGTGCGTTTCTTCGACATTGAGTGGAGCATTTCGAAGGCTAAAATCGCATTATCCATAATGAGGCGATTTGGAACAAAGGCACTTTGGTTCACTGAAATAAGATTATTGAGAACTTTTTTTAACCTGGCCGCAATGGCTTTCGAGATTATTTTGTAAAGGACTGTGCATAAGCTTATTGGCCGAAAGTCCGTGATCTTGTCTGGTTGCTTCTTCTTCGGAATCAAAACAATGATTGTGTCATTGAAGCCCTCCAGAGAACCCCCATTATTGAGAATATTGAGACAAGCTGAGATAACATCGGACTTTAGAAGCTCCCAATGAGTTTGATAAAATATGGCGTGAAACCCATCAACTCCTGGGGCTTTGTAGGGGCCAATACTCATTAACGCATCATGAACTTCTTTTTCCGTATATGGTTCATCTAGCATTGTAGCCTCCTCCGAAGATATACACCCGCCCGCACTATCAGTCACCTCAGCAATTTGTTCTGCCGTCGGCCGTGAACTTGAAAAGAGATTTGCAAAAAAGGTGGACACATGCTCACATATTTGATGCTCTCCCGTGAGCCATACTCCTTGGTCATTTTTCAGCTTATCAATACGGTTAAGACGATGTCTGACTTTAGCTCGAGCATGAAAAAATCTTGTATTCCGATCTCCCTCCGAAAGCCAGTCAACCCGAGCCCGTTGCTTCCAAAACCTCTCTTCACGACAAAGAAGCCTCTGCACCTCCGATTCAAGGGATTTGATTTCATCCATGTGATCTGATGAGTTTGGAGCATCATAGAGCTGTTGGAGTTTCTTTTCTTTTTCATTTAGAGTCTTTTTCCACCCCGCGAAAGATTGTTTGCTCCATTTCTGCAGCCCTTGCTTGCACGCCAACAATTTTGAGTTGAACTGGGAAGTAGTCGTCTCTCTGACTTGCGGGATTGTCTCACTCGACCAGCAATCTCGGACGACATCAAAATAAGAGTTTTCTTTTAGCCAAAACGATTCATATCTAAATTGACGAGATTTAGAATAAAACGAACGTTTAGGACGAACCTGAAGTTGGATATAAATAGGCCGATGATCTGAAGAATAATAAGGAAGATGCTCTATCCACGACTCTGGGAATAAACTCATCCAGTCTTCCGAGCCCAAATATCGGTCAAGGCGCGCTTGAATATTATCTGGCCCCGTTCTCTTATTGTTCCATGTGAACGGATTGCCACGAAAATGGATATTATTGAGAAGGCAATCATTGATGGTGGATTGAAAAGCCCGAGAAGAAGCTTGATGTCGAAAAACCCCCCCGAGACGTTCTGAGAGAAAAATGGTTTCATTAAAATCACCTCCGCAAAGCCAGGGAAGAGTTGATAAGTTATGTAATCTTCGAATTAGATCCCACGTGTGATATCGATTCTCCATTTTTGGTTGCCCGTAAATACCAGTGAACCGCCAACATCTATTCTCGTGATCTTCAATAACAGCGTCAATATGCCCTGAAGAGAAAGATTGTATATTAACTTTCCACCGATCCGACCACAATAGCATAAGCCCCCCACTTAACCCTGTACAGTCCACCACAAAATTACCACTAAGCTGTAAGAGGTTTCGAATATTAGCTGCCTTAATGCCAAACAATCTAGTTTCAGACAGGAAAACTAGATCGGGGGAATATTTACAGATCAAGCTCTGTAACGATTTTACTGTGCGAGGATTCCCCAGACCTCGCACGTTCCAGCAAAGGCAACTCATTCCGTTCGGCGCCTCTGCTGAGCAGAGGTCGCCGCTTCTTGACCCGAAGGAATAGTTTCCAGCATTGCTTCATCATTCTCCGTCCGTACCCGTTTACACGATCCGACGATTGGTGTGGCTCTAACTGATGCCGTTAAATTTAAAAGATAATAAAAATATATTCAGATCGTATAAAATATTAGACGCATTTGATACAAATTAATTTTGGAAAAAAA